GCCTTTTTCCCTCTTCTGCCACTGCTCATGATCAAGTTTTCTTCACATCTTAATGGCTCTGTTTGAATCTGTTAGTGCCTCTCAAAGTGGTATGGGTGCAAGAGACTCGCTTAGTATGTTCAAGTTGCTTATTTGTCAGTAGTCATACTCTGTCTCCCCTGTGCTGGAAATGGGTCTTGAAATCCAATTTGGCTTTGTTTTTTTTCTTTGTTGCTACAGATACAAAGGCTTTAAAGGCAACTGCTCGATTTCCTTCATTGAGCAGTTCAGAGCCCTCCACCAGTGCAATAAGTACTGTGAGATGCTGGGTCTGAAATCTCTCCGATTCACTCATCAAAAACAGAGGAAACCAACGCCCATGAAGAGCAAAACTCTACCAAACTCACCAACTATTAAAAAAACAGTGTGCAAGAAAGTGAGAGAACCTAGGGACTTCACAACTACAGAGCACTGAGTAGCACTGTCCCATCGTATGGAAACTCCTCGTGGGGATATGTAATAGTGGTAGGCACCAATGTTCTTACCAGAGAATAACATTTGGGGATATTGTTATGAAGTCATCCTAATGCTGATGCCAGCAACAAAGAAAGGAGATGATTCTGTGATGTAGAAACCAGAGATTTAACACGAAAGCAAGATTTTGAAGATAAACTCAGCCACCTGCCTGGATTATTTTACAACTGTTCTATGCACTGGTATCTGTATATTTTGAGTCTTGGCCATTGAATGAGTCTCTGGAGAACATCTTCCCTTCTGTTTGTGTGTGCATGTGAACCTGTGGTTCAGCTGCAATGTAAACAACAAAATGTTTAAGATGCCACTTAGTAAAAATTTTGCACAGTATTGTTCGGACTGCTTTCTAAAAGATTTTTTCTCTCCCAAATCTTTGCATGTTGTACCACAACTGTACTACTCTTTTCATAATAATGTTTTTTCCCACTCACATGTCTTCCAATACAAGATAAAACTATTCATGATTGGACATCTGTGCATTCTCCACAAGATTTCTAGGATCTTTAATGTTCTCACAATGTGATGTCATCAGCTTAAAATTCAGTAACGTGTGTGATTCTCCATAGCATTCCATGCTTCCCAAGAAAGCTTCCTTGACTCTACAGTATCCCTGTGGCACAGTACTGGATGTGTACCAGTCCTATTGTAAGGTAGAGGCTCAGAGTCTGCATGTTGCCGAACAGCTAGGATGTGAAATAAGCCATTGGAGATGGAGGGTGTTTCAATATCTTGCAACATAAAGAATAAGTCAGATGGCTTTTATGAGTCGTGTGGAGTTGTTTTTAAAGGAGCATGGGAGGTATCTTGGGACAGTACGTGACCGATAAAGAGTTCTGATTTGTCCTCATACCATTTATCCAGCGTACCAGCAAAAGGCAGTGTGCCTCCAGATTCGGCAGATTTGCTGCCAAAGGAGGGAACTATGCTTGTCAGAAACTGCAGCATGTTTCCTGGATGTTGCCAGTTGGAAACCCAACCTACAGTGCCTAGCACCTGGAATAGAAACACCGAAAACATGGCAGGCTTCTTATCCCTACTAAATAATGGGTGGTGCAAGGAACCCAACACCTGAATGCGAATCTGGAGTGCAAGGAAGGTCAGTGCTGAGGGAAAGAAATTCTGGACTACGTTCTGCTTTGTATTGATGAGCAGTGGGTGTCAAGTAGGAAACAAACTGTTTGGGATTAATTGACACTAGTAAAAGAAACTTCTCTGACTGCAGTTGAGATGTAAACGTCTAGAGTTGTTGTCCTCTTGAGTTATTGCCCCTCAGTGCAGTTACACCTTCAATTACATTGAAATATATTGACATTAATAGCTGCAGAAAGTAGATAACAATTACCCTTGGTTAAAGCCAACTGAAATTTATAACCTTGCCCTCCTGTGATTCTCACAGGTTTCACAGCTCTGAGGCATTTCTAAGGGAAGTAGAGAATTGAGTCTTTGCCTTTTTTTTTTTTTTCTGCTTTACAGAATCACAGAATTCTGGGGGTTGGAAGGGACCTGTAGATATCATCATCCCTCTCTGGGCAGCCCGTTCCAGTGATCCCCTCTGAGCCATCTCTTCCCCAGGCTGAACAGTCTCAGGTCCCTCAGCCTTCCATCACAAGGGAGATGCTCCCCATCACCCTGCACTGGACTCCTCCTGGGAGATCCCTGTCTTTTGAATCAGGGAACCCAGCCACAGTATTCTGGATATGGACTCACTAGAGCAGAGTAGAGGGGGAGGATTGCCTCTCTTGACCTTCTGGCCACATTCTTTTTAATGCACATCAGGGTACCACTGGCTTTCTTGGCCACCAGGGCACATTGCTGGCTCACCCTGCTGTTTCCATGTTGGGCCATCCTATCTCACACTTGCTTAGCTGTCTGTTCTGACCTGCAGTCTGTCTTGTTTGTCTGGCAAGTAGGAAGTCTTTGTCAGGAGTATCTTCTTCATGCCGGTTCCTCTCAAAAACTCCTTACTGACATTTCTGGGTCTGACAACAACAATAAACAAACTCCAGTGTGCGTGTCAGAAATAAGTGGGAAATGGTGCTTGATAGACTAGCTTTCTGCCTGTCTCTGTATTTCCATGTCAGATCTGTGGGGGAAAAAATAGGCTGTTAATAATTGCTGTCCCTTGTAGACTGATAATTAGGCACTCTTCCCACTTACTCCTGCTGTTACAGAACATACGAATATATCCATGTATGCTGTATCACAGAGCATTTGAGAAAATTGTTTGAGAAAGAATGAAAGCTAAGAATCTAATCTTAATTTTATACAAAGACCTGGACCATGAAATCAGACACACATGGATGAAACAAAGCTTCTACGAAACGTCTCTTTTTAAAAAATAATTGACTGCATGAATATCACGTTGGCATTGAGGTTTTAGAGATAACTCCCTGGAGCCGCTCAAGGCCAGGTTGGATGGGGCCCTGGGCAGCCTGGGCTGCTATGAAATGTGGAGGTTGGTGGCCCTGCGTGTGGCAGGGGGTTGGAGCTTCGTGATCCTTGAGCTCCCTTCCAACCCGGGCAGTTCTGTGATTCTGTGATATGTGTTGCTATGGATAAACTGATAATTTAACCTGATCTTTCCCAGTTTTAAGCAGATTAAAAATAGCCAGGCTCCAAAGGAAACATTTTCAATAACACCAAATGGATTTCAGAGTGTAAATCCATGTCTGCAAAATACTAGATGTCAGTTATCTTTTTGCTACAGGTGGGTGATACACGCCGTACCTTATCACCAGTGGAAATTGGCTGCCTCAGTTCCTTTTGAAATTGAACCTTTAGACTTCTGAAAATTCCTCCCCAATGGTCAGAAGTGTTCAAAGGCAGCAAGTTTCAACTGCAGGATTTGTGTCTAGTAATTTCCTGGATGACTGTATCATTGCAGCCCTTTGATACGTAATCTCAGCCTTAATGCACACATCAGCTTCACAAATTGCTTGGCCCCAGGTCTCCAGGGGAGGCAATTTTTGAAGGCAGCTGTTTCATTTCGCATGTTGTGCCTTGAATACTTACCCACTTGATGCAGAGACTGAATGGAAGTCAGCATTAGAAAAGACTGTGTTTCCCACTCCATCCCTCATAAACCATGTAGTAATAGAAAATTGCATACAATTTGTAGCAGGGGAGCTTTTCAGAATAACTCCCGCAGCTCAATCTCACATAATCCAGCAGTGAACTGTAGGAATACATCTACATTATGTCCTTTTTTTTTTTTTTTTTTTTTTTTTTGCCCTTAGAGAAAGTTCAGTGTACCCAGCACTTGTGTGGGTGTTGTAAAAGTCATGTCGCCCTATAATAAAAAGCTCAACAAATAGGCTGTTATTTGGAGTTTCAAGAGCACAGCAGCTGCAACAGGGAGAGAGGGTTAATCTATACTGCTATAGAGTACTAGGGGAAGGTTTGAAACGGATTTCACACACCAGTGTTTGAACACTTTATAATGGATTTTCTTAGTAATATCACAAGTGGAACCTTGGGAGCCTGTACTGCCGTTCCACCAGTGAAGTACCAGCAGTGGTGACTGATATTTTGCATTCAGCTGTGGTGCTACTGCCAATTGCAGAGCTAGTCCAAAATGACAGAGTTAATCTGCTGCTCTGTCTGGATGCTGTTCTAAGGCAAGTAACAGATGAGGTTCACTGAGTGGGAGGAGAGAAAGAACATAAGATGTTCTTCAAATAAGAAAAATTGCAATACCAGTAATCGGGAGAAGGGCAAGCAGGGCTGGCACAAGCTCCCTAGACTCTGCAGGCATAATGAGAGTGGGAAGGGATTTTATTCATTTCTCTCTCAATCAGAAGTTGAGAAGACAAGGTGCTGCTGTGAAAACATTACCCAGAGGGTCGTGCAGACAAGGTCACTTTCACTTTCCTTCATCAGAGCCAGAGAAAAGAGAAGGAGTTTCTGCTCTCTTGACTGCCCCCCAAGCTCACATGCATAAATATTGCTTCAGCTAGCAGGAAATTGCCTGCAAAGGCCTTTTTTAAAAATAAACCAGCTCTGCTCATTTCACTATGATTCTGCCATAAAATTCTGTGTGAAATTACTGTGACCTAGTGAGTCTTCGGCAGCGCAGTGCTGGCTCTGGGAGCCTTTCTGTTGCAGCTGTATTCTAATTGTGTTGATGGATGACTGAGGCTGTTTTGTAGCAGTGGCAGAACAACGTGCCTTGTTGGTGTTAATGCTCAGTGCTCTAACAAATGCCCTGTTCTTCTGTGTTTGTGCTGCATGTTTCGAGGATGGCCCTCTGCATTCTGTTCTTCGCCTGCTCCTTTCAGAGAAGAGATAGGACCCAACCTTACACTGCATGGTAGCCCAGCCCTTATCTTTCCTTTGCAAAGATCGTATGTAGCACTGTAAAATAAAAGGGAACAGAGCTGAAAGCATTTGAAATCTGAATAAATTATGTTCCCAGATAGATGTAAAAGCTTTTTATCAGAATTTTGAAAGGCGTTTTGTTTGAAAATCACAATCATCTCAGCCAGTTATTGTTTGAAACACGTGTGTTTTACTTTGGTGCAAAAATAACAACCAGGCTTTGAGTTCACCAGGTAATTGGCTGCAGTACTCTACAGCAACGGTCAATCCAACAGGAAAATCTCAGTCCAACCTCGTTTTCCAGAGGCAACCACAGCTGCACTGACTCCACTGAAATCCACATTCCTAACACTGGTGGTGTGATTCCTGTAGGTGACTCTTGTGTGTTCTGCGGTAGGGATCTGGAAAGGCACGTGGCAGGGTGTGCTTTTCCCACGTACAACTGTGGGTCCGCTTATAAAAGGAGCCTTCCTGAAATGAAGAAAGCTTATTTATTCCTCAGTACAGCAGATAAAGGCATTGCTATAATTCACTAACTTCTCTGACTCGAAGTCTCATCTACCAGTAGCTATTTAGTGTGATAATGGCGTTTGATAGATTGGACACAAACACCATTGTCACACTCCACAGCTCTGGCAGCAGATGGTTAGCCCATGGTAGTAGAAGTAAAGGCACACAGCGTGGAGGCTTCGGAGATCTGCAAAACACAGAAAAAGACCACGTGTGTGTGATACTTAATATGTAGCACCTCAGTGTTCTCACGGAGCATGAGAAATAGGACTCAGCGTTTTTGTGCCAAGTAGCTGCAGTAATCTAAAAGATAAGTATCTAAAAGATAAGTAGCTTTAAGTGTGCTTTTATAGGCAAAGGAAATGGACAGGCGCCTCGAGGAAGTCATTGGTCTGGTCTTAAAGGATTTTGGAGGGAGGGAAGAATCATCCTTCGCAGGGACTGGTGCCTTTCTTACTGATGGACTCAACTCAGTAAGTGCTTTTCTTGTATAGAGTTTTGTTAGATCATAAAGTCAGTGTTTGTTTCCCATATGCATGTCTTTGCCAGCACCTTACAGCCACCTCACTTAGAAGGCAGCAAGGTGGTCTTTGCTTCTCCTCCTCATTCATATCCAACAGTGAAGTAAGCAGTGTTAGCGAGGTACACAACTACTGTTTCCTCTTCCACAACAATTTCTTTGTTTGTTTGACAGGACAGAGTGCTTTTCCATATTTAACCTGCAAATCAGGTAACATTTCTGTATATCATGCCTATTCATGAGGACTGGTCTAAGAGTACAAAACGCTTCCTGAGGATCACCTTATGCACAGTGATTTGCTAAACCAGTTCAGCTGTGTGTCACCAGCACATCTGAATATTGCAAAGATTCCGAATATGCAAACATTCCGAAGAGGAAATAGAGAAAGAAGAGCACGGGGAAGGAAGCAGATTAGAAAATAGAGCCTCGATAGCCCTCATACCTTGCTCTTCTCTGCATCCACTTTCTCCTCAGTCTATAAAGCGTGTCACCTAGTGTGATGCCTCTGCAGGAACATTTTGGGTACTAACTGGAAGAAACAGTGACCTATGCAGATAGAAAGTGGCTTTGTGAGCATGCAAGCTGGGTAGTGAATGTTCATCAGTATCTGTGGTAACTCACTCCCCTGGTACTGTGTGATTCTCACACAGCAACATCCTTAGCACCTCTGCTTTATCCCCAGAACCATGTTGGCGCTCCCATCACGCCTTCCAGCTGAGAAACAAAAGGGAGAGGTACACACCTCTATCACTGACTCCTCTTTAAAATTTGAATATTTGACAGAACTGAGTCATGTTGTCTGAATGCAGTACAGCTGTGAAGGAAAATCACATTTCTGTCCTTGTTCAGAGCAAGCGGTCACTGATCTAAATATCAGCTTCTGGAAGAAGGAGGAAAGGAATTCCCTGGTGTGAAACAGGGCATGCTGAAGCTGGTGAGAAGTGCAGGTCCTTCTCTCAAAAGAAGAGGTTGTGTATGGGCAGCTACCACCACTGAAACACTGGAGCTGGCTGGGGGGAGGACAAGGCTCTGAAGGAAAAGGTTCAGCACAAGAACCTGCTCTCCAGGTGGAGTACAGATTGAGGGCTGCCACAGGAACAGCAGCCCTGGTTTGAGAAAGTAATATGGAGTGCAGCAGCAAATGGTGAAGTTAATGGCCTGGGGGCTTCCAAACGCTGATTTCCATATGCAGATGTTCAGATAGGGAAGCTTAGCTTGCTCCATTCTACAGCAATCAGCAGAGGAGAGATGCACAAACTGTCCTGCTGCCCACATGGATTGAACACACCTGAACCACCAGCACACCCTTCACAGTGTAACAAGTATTTTTTCTGCAATCCTAACCTTTGGATGCAACTTTTTGTTGTTTGTTTTGTTTTTCTTTCTTTTTTTCTTTTTTTCTTTTTTTTTTTTCTGGAAACTTTCTCATAAACACAATCTATTTCAACCTGTGTGGATCCCCATGCAGACTGACAGTCTGCGGAGCTCTGGACCATCTTCACCACTGATTTACAAATGCATATAATTGAACCTATGAGTAAGTGTGATTTGGCAGCACGAGCTGAGTTCTGAGCAGCCTGTGGCTGGCATATAGCAAAGCCATGAGTGGCTGTGAGCTGCTTACCGTGTCAGATTGCTTTGGGTTTTGAGCACGATTATTACAACTGCTCTGCTATGCCCACCCTTGCAAGGAAGCATGCCTGTAGATGCTTGAGCAGGCCTGAGACTTATCCAAGTGCTTTTCACCTTGTACTGACTTTAAGTCTCCACGTGCAGAGGGGGAAATGCACACACAGAGTGGTGGGGTGGTTGCAGACCCAGCCACACGTTGTGCCACCAGGAAATCACAGCTACAGAGGAGTCACATCCAAAGGAAAGGAAAGGGCCTGAGCACATCCCACGCGTCAGAACGGCACTGAGTGCTTTGAATTAATGATGGGAAATGCACAGTTACACCCGGAACACTTGATATCCAGTCAGGGTGCTGCTTGCATTTGCATACTTGAGGTCTGTGAGGATATTTTTGATGAATGTGTCTCCGCTTTAGCTACTGATAGTTGGAATCAAAGCCAAGGGGATATACAAATACTGTACATTTCTTTCTAACTCATCATGATAGCAGTGGTCTTCCACCACCTTTACCAATACACATTTTACTCAGAATTAAATCTGTATCAGAGAAGAAAGGTAAAAAAAATTCTACTCCATTTAAGCCCTCCAACCAAAAGTGAGTCAGATCTGGCATATCCAGAGCCACACGTAGCAAGGCTCTGGCAGAGGCACCTCAGGGCTTTGCTGCAAAATACAGATGGCAGCCAGATAAAGAATGCAACTGCAGCAAGCAGCTTCATAGTTCCACAGCTACATAGAAAAGGGAATATTTCCAAGAATAAAAGGTAGCGACAGAAAGAAACATGGCAGCTTTCAGTATTGCAATGGAGCAGGAAAACCAAAGCAACAAAGGAGCAGCAGTACGGGGAGAAAGAGAACACACATTGTCACAGAAAAAAAATTCTCCTTTTTGCTTCTCTTCCGTTATCAGGATGTTTGAGCGACGAAGAAAATTGCAAGCGTGAGAATTTTTCAAGAAGCATAGCAGCGTGGGTCACAACATCTGTCCTTTTCATACCTTCAGGCTTGGAAGCATCCCTGCAAGCTGTGAAGCCTGGCTACGTTTACTACCAGCTGTGTTTAATTCCTAAGCCAACCTAATCCCTTTAATAGAAAGTGTAGGCTGAGATCACTGTGTCCACGGCATTAAATCCGGCTGAATCAAACAGGCCATTTGCAGATCATGTGCTATTCCAAAGTGCTGCCTATTCGAAAGACACACGCACTACTCTGTTAGTCCGTTTCATCACTCCTTTCCCTCACGTGAATCGAGCATGGCAAGGCACTTACCGTCGCAGACAGGGGTCCCTGTGTTGTGCCATTGGGATCTGTCAGAACTCAGGTGCTGCTGTGTGACGTGTTGCTGAGTATCACTGTGCCCGGGTGGCTGGAGAACCTGGCTTTCTTTTACGAGATCACAGCAGTGGCCAGCTGTTCAAGGCCTCTGTTTTCAGGGGACACCTTTGCCTTGCCCTTTATGGGATCCTGAGGTTTTAAAGTAAACAATTTGTTCTCTTTCTGATAAGTCATATTAAAATATTGATCTGGGGGGTGGGGGATGGCTGTCACTGCACAGAGCCAGGATCACCTTTATTCAAAAGGAGTAAGGAATGGGGGAAAAAACACCGAAGGCTACCTTTTCTCTCCTTTTTTAATGTGGGCTTCATTTTCCAGCGTCCCTACGACCTGGGAAAAAAGCCTGACTTCAGCTAGGAACAGTGATGGCTAAATCAGGAATTACACACAGGCTTCAGGACCTCATCCAGATAATCAGCAGCCAGACCACTGCATAAACCTCCAAATTTAAGGTGTTTTTAATTGCACATTTTTGGTGTAGGCTATTATGGGATCTGAACCTGAACGTAAGCTGGGGTCCCATTTTCAGTACAGTAACCTTCCTGAGAGTTAACCAGCTGGTGCTTCACTGCTAGTGTTGACTGACATGCTTCTATTCCACTAGAATATAAATATTTTGTAGCAGACTTGGGGAACATTGATATTGGGAAGAAAATATTGGAATTATCAATACAACGCCTCACATAAGCAAAGAATCAGGTGGCTTTACTTATTTTGGATGGATGAGTCCATTTGGCAGGTGAAAAACACTGGAACATCAGATGTGGAAGGCAATCTTTACCCTGCATTCTTCTTGCATTAAAGCTTTAGTCGCTGGCAGACCTCAAACAGAGCACACATACATTTTCTGTCCGTCTTAAGATCCTCACCACTGCCAGAATAAGACAAAACCATTCAGTGCATATGAACTCCAGGAATCAGAGCTCTCTTTCCATGAATACTTACCACTGCCTTTATAGTTCAAGAATAATTTTTTTCCCTTACGAAGAACTGCAGAATCTATCATAATTAGGGCATTGTGGCGACATGTTTCTCTAACCTTAGTTGTAAAAGCAATGTTGTTACCTATTGCATATGACATAACAGCATTGCTGTACCATTTCCAGTTTTGTTGAAGATTTTAATTAACAGCAAGCACAAGTGAATAATGTGACAGGTGACAGGTAGCAGGAAAGTGAAGAGTGAATGAGACCAGAGAAGAAAGCAAGTGCTTCATCCTCAATGTCAGGGTGTTGGAGAAGGGTACTGAATTAAGAGTTTGGTAAGAACACAGTCATAGACTGCTTGTTTTTAGTGAAGAATGCCTCACATGGGATAAATACAAAGAAGGTGGAATTAATGGTGGCAGCAGCAGCAGCAGTAGTGGTGGTAGTTCATGGTCTGTTCAAATAGTAAAACAGGATCTGGGGAAAATACTTATTTAGAAATTACTGCCAACAGCACACGTCGTTCTCAAAAGGCAGAGATGCATCTACATGAGGTCTGTCAATATGCTTGTTGAAAACAAGAGAGCAAGAACACCTTCATGAAAAACAAAACAGATTGCCACGTGTTCTCCAAACACAGCAGAGAAACCCCAGCATGTCCTGGGATTTAGTCACAGGGAAACAACACTTGCTCAGTGTTTCTGGGGTTGTGCTTCTGAATAGAAGCCCTTCTTGAAATGGTAACCTGCCATTGTAAGTGAAGAACAGCCCACTGCATGCAGAGCCACTGCTAAGAATCTGAAGCAGCGCTGCAGCATTCATTAGTGTTGCAGTCCGGTTTTAGTCCAATTCTTTGTAATTAAACGCCAAATTATTTGGAAATTCCTGAAAAAAAAACAAAAGGTGTGTGGGTTGCTCTGAAAGTAATGCCTCCTATTTATTTACAGAGAAACAACAACAGACACAAAGAGCACAGTAACACTATTTGATGGAGCAAATTCTCAACTACAAAGCAGTATTTTTCACCGTTGTCACCACCATTAGGCAATTCACATGGATGAGATGACCAAGATGCTCTTTATTTCGTGGTGTGACAGCCGTATGTGGCTGTCCAGAATATGGCTTGCCTTTCATGTTGCTGTTGCCACTGTTGAACCAACATAATAACACAGGAGGCATTACTTTTGGAGCAGCCCTTTCATAAACAGGGCTTTCCATTCTGGGAAGTTTTTCATGCTGGAAAGTTTTAACAAACAGTAAGAAACTGTTTAAAAGTATGTTTTGAAGTTTTATCTCAAACTGGAGGCATTCAAATCAGAATTCCTTTACGTATCCTGAAAGGAGCTCCCCTGATTCTGCTTTTGTTCTTTTTATGCTACGCTCAAAGTCAGGATAGTATAAAATTTCCATGAGGAAAAAAAAAAAAGCAACAAAAAGGGCCATGCTGTGCAAGAGGAAGTGAGAGCTTTCTCTTCCCTGCTGGGATGTCCAAACACTTCATGCTATGCAGCTTACTTGACAAAAGCCAATGCTGCAGTTCTGAGCGATGGACAACTGGGCCTTTGGAGGGGAAGGGCCTTAATGTGAGAGATTCTGACCTGAAAAACACGATGCTGTGAAATGTAGAGGTGTAAGAGGGTACTACAGAGGCACCAGCCCAAGGAGAATCCCATTTTGCAGTCTTGTGGAACAGATATGCAGAAATTCTCTTTCCTTGGACTCCAGCCTCAGAACATAACTATTGCAATGAGGATTATTCACACGTGAGAATTTGAGCTGTGTCTGTACAGATCTTCACCCCAGTTCTATCTTTAACGAGAATAGAATCAATACTCACAGTTTTATGCTGACATTTGAGTTGGCTAATCCACCTGTAGAGAACCTCACCAGTTTCCAGGTGTGGGCATAGCTTGGTTTAAAACACTCAGACTAATCACAGTCCAAGTTTTAGATCAGACGCTTTGATGTGTGAAGATGTTGAAAACTGACCTGTATTGAGTTATGTCTGAATCTTCCCTTTGGTGTAAGCTATTCACTTCACCATAGCTATGCTGATCTTCGTCTCTTTTGGATATGACCATATATAAACATTGCTACAGGAATTCTTGGTTTGAAAGTGGGCAACAACGGTGTTTGTTTATCTTTCTAACAGAAATTCTTACAGTAGTCAAGGGGCAACAAACTTCATGAACGTTTAAGGACGTTTGCTTTACCAGCATCACCACTGTGGTACAACAGACAGAAGTGAAGTGCATGTAGTGCTAGGGCAACTTATATCGCAGCAGTGAAAATGACATGACCTTTCTTAGTCAATGGTAGGGGTTAAAGATTACCTGTTCTGGTCATTCTGACTACTAGAAAGATTAACTTAAAGCAGTATAAAGTAGAGCAAAGGTAGTTAACCTGGAAGCCGTGATCTCTCCTGATTACTTCTCGGGCTCAGTAAACGAAATTGATTTGAATTTCCCAATCATCAAATTCATTTCATCAGTTCTGGATCATCCTGGCGTTCCCCGTTAAATCTGACAGGTCAGGCATGAATACATAAGGCTAAGGATTCTCTTCAGGTTAAAGGTGTAAAGCCTGAATGTACTGTCCTTAAAATCTGTCTGCTTCCTGAGCAAAATGGCTCTGGATAGAATTAAAATAATCTCTGTGCGTGCAGATCCTCTCTCCCTTCCTGGATCGCACAGGAGGTCCATAGGCTTCCCTCTCTACATCTTTTCTGAACTGGGGTATCAGTTCATTGTCCTGCTATATGATTTCTTTTGCTCTGCCAGTCCTTAACTGTATAGAATTTAGTCACCGTGCCATGAGGTTTTCCACTCCTTGTACCACCCCTTTCAGATACACTGGATGCAGAAAGTTTAACCTTAGATCTGTAAGTCATAGAGACATAGAATCATAGAATGGCCTGGGTTGAAAAAGACCACAGTGTTCATCCAGTTCCAACCCCCTGCTATGTTCAAGGTTGCCAACCAGCAGAGCAGGCTGTCGAGAATCACATCCAGCCTGGCCCTGAATGCCTGCAGGGATGGGGCATCTACAGCCTCCTTGGGCAAAGTATGAGATAATTATTTCAGAACTACAGCTCTAGGTCACTTAGGAGTCCAAATCCCAGGAGCAGTTAATCTTCAGGACTTGACAGAATAAGCCAAACCTTTGCTCAGCCAATGCCGCCTACATAAAAAGGAGGCAAAGAAACAAAAAGGAAATAGACAATGAATACAAAAAGGTGAAAACACAGCTCGTGCCAGCTCCTCTGCTCTTAACTGCTATTTGCTCAAACTTTTCCACAAGTGGTGAAGTTCATTCTGGGTGTGAATGCTTACCATGTGCTGTGCTTCAGGTGAAACTTTTCTGCTACTAGCAGAATTTTGAAAGAATTTGGCGTGGGCTTTGACATAATCTTTCTTCTTTTTGTCTTTCTATAAAGGACAATTTCGGGCTTAGAAGGTTCGGGCTAAAAAATCAGGAAAAACAGTGATTTGGTATTTCTGTGTTGAAAAGATGACCAGTTCTTGTGCCATCAGTTTGGCCACGTTGATGATGATGTGAAAAAGAATTCCTTTTGTGTAGGGCTATGCACCAGGAGTGCACTGAGCCAAGGGGTAGCCAGGAAAAGGATACTGAATACAGCTTAGGAGTTGCTTTTTTCTCTCTTATTTGTTCATACAATCACAGAATGGCCGGGGTTGGAAGGAACCTTAAGGATTATGAATCTCCAACCCCTGCCACACGCAGGGCCACCAACCTCCACATTTCATAGCAGCCCAGGCTGCCCAGGGCCCCATCCAACCTGGCCTTGAACACCTCCAGGGATGGACGGGGCATCACAGCCTCTCTGGGCAGCTGTTCCAGCACCTCACCACTCTCATAGCAAAGAACTTCCCCTGACATCCAACCAAAATCTTCCCTCCCTCAACTTCAAACCATTTCCCTTTGTCCTGCTCTTATTTACCCTTGTTCCTCTCTGTCATAATTAGTAATATCAATGCTTTGAAGACAAAAAGTCTTTTGATTTTTGACAAAATCAAGAAGTCTTGATCATTTGACATGAAAACTGCAGACAGCTCACTAGCTAAATGCAAACATTCCATAAACATCATATTTAGTCTTACTGCACAGTAGTGATCCTTCAGGTTAAAAATTCATTTACTGTCCCATGCAGCAAGAAGTTGAGTTTCACATGGC